TGGTACACGTGTTTGTTTGAATTAATTTTTATTGGCGAATAATATTACGTTTGCATTTTGTTTAATTCGTTACTCCCCATTGGTACATACAGCATATAGTATGTGTATATATGTATATGTATATATATGCGTAGATATATGTATGTGTGTGTGTGTGTGTATAAATTTCAAATAATCTGCTCGGAATCATACATATATAGTAGAAACGATTCGTTTTATCATACCCAACAATCAAACAGATACACGTCTATATAAGTATATGCATATCAGATTATTTGCATTGCCATTAGATTTGTGGCATACATACATACGTCCATATCCGTGCATATAAAAAGATGAGCCAACACCTCATATTGTATTGTAGAGTTCTGGATTTGCATGGTTTTTGTTTTTCTGTTTTTTGGTTTGTTTTTTGTTTTTTTTTTTTTTGGAAAGCAATTGGTTCGTTTAGTATATTCTTAATAACATTTACAAAATGTTGGGATTATTTACGAGTATATTAAATGATTGCAGACAGTTGTTAGCAAATGAAAGATGCTCTGCTCTCAGGAAGTTCTCTTCTTCCTGGTCCACTTGCAGTTCCTATTCCATTCCATTCCGTTCCGTTCCTCCTACACTCGTACTACTTCACTTAACAATAGTATGCTTCTATAATTGTTCGCCCATTAATTTACAGCTTTCTCTTATTTGTGAAAAATTGTTTGCTGCTGCTGCTGTGTTCATTTCTCATTCGAAATTGTACCAATTATGTTACTTTACTCTTAGATATACATATGTATGTCATACCGATTTCATTACAATTACGAGCATATACATATACATTCGTACACATGTATGTATGTATGTATGTATGTATATACGGGTGTAGGGGGTATTCCCCCACACACTATTCCCTATCATATCATATCTATATGACATTGCACTGTTTCTCCAATCCATATTAGCTCTATACACTTGATGGCTGCTTAAAATTTTGCTAGATATTATTTTATATATACTATATATATATATATATATATATATATATATATATATATATATATATATATATATATATATATATATATATATATATATATATATATATATATGTATATATAGATATAGATGTATTTATGTATATGTGTGTGCACACCCATGTTTAACAGAATAGATACACCAAGCTAGCATCGGATTCCACTCATTAATTAATTTTCGAGGAATTTTCCCCGTCTCTATCCGTTTCTGAATTCGTTCAACAAAAGCGATATCGTAATAGGATGTGGAATTGCTCAACAAAAAACGATTCAGTAATTCAGTAGTATTCCCATTTTGTTCCAAACTCAACTATATTTTGAGACTTGTAAAGTTTAGCAATTTCGATTCCGCTTAACTCGGTTGAATTCGCAAAACTATTTGTTGAAAGATCTAATAAAATGAATGAATTAAATTCATTAGAAATAGAGATGTTTTTCAAAATAGAGTTTCTTCGCTTTTTAAATATTTTAGATATTGAAGAGTTTCTTGAAAAACTGATGTTACAAATGCTTCCATTTCATATTAAATGATCCAAACCTCTTTCGAAACAGTGCATCAAGTTCAGTAATAAATTTATTTATCAAATGATTCCGAACAACAACATGATTCCGTTTCTTCGCTTTAAATTTCGAAAAGATTTCTTTCTCAATAACATTGGTAATTGAAAGATTTTGCAGATAAGAAATAATGGAAAATGGACGAGATGTTTTCACATTTTGTAATGGAAAAAGTGAATGTATTCAGTTTAAATGTCTCCCCTTTTTTAAAACAATTCTCCATTTTTCAACTGTTACATTTCTCTGTTTTCGGGGGCCTAACTTTGTTTGTTATTTTGTTAAGGAGTGGCGAAAATGGTTTAAATTTCTTATGTTTCCCAACTTTCCCTATTGTCTCTTTTGGGGGGCTAATTTTGTCTGTTTTTTTCTTTAAGAAGTGGCGAAAAAGTGAATGTTTTCATTTTAAATTTTGTCAATTTTTTAACTTTTGCATTTGCCCCCTTTGGGGGACTAATTTGCCTGATTAGGTGACCAATGGATATTAGAGTTTAATGTAGGTTTTAGAAGTCCATGAATGAATGAATGCATTTTCAGGAATAACTCTCATCCATTAAGATTATTCCTCTCAAGGTTGGAAAAAACACTCGCGATTTATTTTCCGATGTGTCCCTAAAACATATCGACAAATTCTCGCATAGTGTCTTTCCTCTCTTAGAATCCCCAATGGATCTGGAATTTATTATGGCTATGTCCTTTCCAGCAATCAGCAATCTCAGTCAAATCTATGATTATAAGTACTACTCAAAGCTTTTGCTTGTGATCGAATAAATCGAATGAAAGTTAGCTGGTGATGTCGATTAGTTTAAACATTGGTGTTTATCGATAGCCCCTTTGTGGATAAGTAGATGAGCCAGCATTTGTGTGGGCTTTCACTTTTCTACACACATACAAATTATTACTTAGTCTCGGTTTTATGTTTTTCTTTCGTTTTTTTTTTTTGTTTTTTGGCCAAGTCACTGCTCTTGTGGGCTAGCATATTAATTTAGATTTAGATAATTTTGCTACGATTTGTTTTGTTTTGTTTGTTGTTATATATTAGTCCATATACAAATATACCGATTTCATGTTTCCGAAATGTTTAATGAGAACTTATGCTTAATAGTAAGTAATAATAATTAATATACCTTTAGTGTCTAGACAAAGGTTATCTTTTTTTGTTTTGTTTTGTTTTGTTTGTTTCAACAAAATTGCAATTCAAAAAATATGCTCCATAAATTTTGACTATTAAAAATAAATGTGAAAATTTCAATTTACTTTTTCAATAATTTCATTAAAAAATTGTTCTTGTTGTTGTTTTCAGCAAATGTCGCGCATATGTTTTGGGGAATGTGTGTGTTTGTGTAAATATTTGAACTATATAATTAGTTTGAAAAAGATTTCAACATTTGTTGGTTGTTGGTTTTTTTTGTTTTTGTTTTTCTCATATTTGTTGTTTGTACTTCGTTAGAAAGTCACGCAGATATGCTGAAAATATCCAACCGAATCCATGTCCTTGCTGCCACTGCGAAATCAAAGTCTGCTGTCTATAACTCAAATATCCAATATATATATATACTATATATCCAATTGCCAAATTATTGTATGCCCTTGCCTAGCCAGCTGTCCGTCTCTGTCTCTGCGTCTGCTTCCGTTCTCTAATCGCTTTGCTCTCTTAGATCTAAAAATTTCATAATATCGTACATACACATCGAACTTAAGTTAACATTGTGGGGGATTATACATATATATATGTGTGTGTATGTGTGTAGCAGTAAAAAAAAAACACGACTTATTTCTTAAATACATACACGTAAACCTTCCCTGCTCCTCTCTCTCTAGCTAGCATATAAATTGCACATTGTTTTGCACCTAAAACTCTAAAAACTCCCAAGTAGTTCGCTCGTTGGTTATGCCTTCTGGTCTGCCACTTTTTTTCCTTCCTCATTTTTGGTCGTTCGCCATGGTGTGTGTGTGTGTGTGTGTGTGTGAGTTGCTTACATAATTTACAATTGTTACTAATATGCAATTGTTATAAGTATATGTATATATGTTTATTTATATATATATGTATTGGCACATAATTACATGCTAGTGACGAAATGAAAGGCTCCTACACAGGTCGCTGATCCTGTGTGCTGGAAAACTGAAGAATAAATAATAAAGATCGGGGGGAAGCGGGGGTTTTGTTTAACTAAACCATTCACTAAACATTTATTGAATCATAATAGTGCATAAATGTAATTAATAATAATTAGACAAAATCAAGATCAACTCAAAATTAATTAATTTATGAAATTAAACCTAATTGCATTTCAATTGCAAACAAAACATATTTTTAATTTTTTTGAACATTCAATTGTAGTTTTTATAATAATAATAATAATTATAATATTCATATATATATATATGTGCATAGCTCTAAAAAGTATTGCCACACAATGTTGCAGACAATTTTGAATGAACATATCGCATTACTTTTCATTTCATAAATCAATTAAAAAACTCAAAAACTCTGACAAAAATGTGTGACAATAGAAGTAAACAATTTAAAAAAAAAAAAATAGTTAAAATTATAATAATATATAGGCATGTGTAGTAATAAACAATTTTCTATTAAGGCAAAAAATTAAAGTCAACGCGCAGCATAGACATTTAACAGCGCGCTAACAGCGCAGTTAACAGCCTGCTGTTGCGCGCACTTAACATAAAGCTGCAAAGCCATTGCTTCCAAAAGTAAGTTTTAAATATATATGCTTGGGTGTGTGTGTGTGTGTGTGTGTGTGTGTGTGTGAATACAAGATTATTTATAATTAATTAGCATTAACAAATGTGCCACCACTTACATTTGTTGCCCTCCCTCTCACTCGCTCTCTTTCTCTTGTTTCGGTCTTGCTTTCTTGCCTTCTCTTTCGCTCAATTATTTTATATGCATTTCTTTTTAAATGAACTTATTAAGTAAACATTTTTCAATATCCATTTTTTACATAGAGTGTGTGTGTGTGTGTGTGTGCTTGTTTGTTTGCATACAAATTTTTGCTACATTAAATTTACATATTTATTCTCAAGAAATTTTTGTTTTGTTTTTGTTTGCTTTTTTGTTTTTGTCAAAATATTGGCGACAAAATATGCGGTAGTTGGCAACTAAAAAAAAAAAAAAATTGAACTAACAGAGCCCGAAGGCCACTTCTCTATTAACCCTTTTTTATACTACATATACAAATATATTGTATATAGTAATTGATATAGTAATCGTTAAGCCGAAAGAAAAAATTATACGATAATGGGGGTTCGTCATGTAATTGCTTTCTAGTCTGCTGTTAAGGAGTTTAATTTTTTTGTCCTGCGTACCTTGCTCTCTCTCTCTCTCTCTCTCTCTCTCTAGGGTAGACAACAAAAACTTTGAATTTTTCATAATAATTTTTAGAATAAATTTTTAACAATCAATCAGGAATAAAATTATTTGTGCGACTTTTTTTTTTTTTTTGGTTACAGTGATCGAAAACTTTTGAAGCACAGATCCAAGCTATAGACTGATATAATAATATTTGAAGCAATACATTTACATTCAATGAGAAATATTTGTTGTTGTTGTTACGAACCCCGCAATATACAATTTGAATTGAAGTTGTTTTTTGTTTTGTTTGTTTTTTTGTTTGCAGACAAATATTTTAGATCGCTCCTCTCTTTGCTGCCGCGTGTTTTGTTTACATTCATAACAGAGAATGAGTTTTAATAATAAGAATAATAATAATGACAATAATCATAGTAGTAGTAGTAGTAGTGGTTGTAGTAATAGTAGTAGTAGTGGTGGTGGTGGTACATACATACATAACTAGTTACAGTTAGTTATTAGTGGTAATCGATAGTTGGTAGCTGGGACGCCAGCCTGGCATAAACTAGTAAATGCTACAAAAAGGACTTGAATGGCGCAAATTGGATTGCTTGCTACCAATAATAATCAAAAAATTAAACATAAACAAATTAATGTTATAGATGTATGTATTCATAAACAATAAAAGAACATTCCGTTTTGGTTGCTTGCTAGATTGCTGCATTGCTAAATGATGTTGATAATTGCGATGATGATGATGATGATCATGATTGATTGATGATCGACTGCTTTGACTGCTTGGGCGACTACTGCTTGGTGTGCTGGGAGCAGCTTAAGCAGCTGTGTCCACCTCCTCAACTATGTGATTGGGCGAAACCTCGCTAGTTGGCGCTGTGGCAGCCGCTGATGTTGTTGTTGCTGTGCTGCTGCTGTTGTTGCTGTTGTTGCTGCTGCTGCTGCTGCTGAGTGGAGGCGTCGTCGTCGTCTTGGTAGTGGCAGTAGAAGGGGCTGTTGCTGAACCAGAACCGGTACTGGTGCTGGAACTACTCTCGTTGGCACCACCAGCAGCCACAGTGGTTAGCTTACTGCTTACTGCACTGTACTGTGTGGCAGCGGCAGCATGCGCTGCGGCGACGACGACATTGCTGCCGCTTGCCACATAGGGTATACTCCTCAACTTGCGCGCCTCACGCCGCTGACGATGCTGCTGCATCACCCAACGCAGCTGATCCAGCTTGTACTTCGTCTTCAGATTGGCCACACACTTGGGGCAGGGCTCGTTGTTGTCCCCAGTCTGGCGATAGCGACAGCTACAGGCACCACCACCAGCACCACCAGCACTTGTGCTCGCGTTCGAGATGTTGCTGGAACTGGAACTGGCACCAGAGCTGGTGCTGGAGCCGGAACCGGCGCTCACGTTGCTGTTGTTGGCGGCGCAGGGCGAGGAGTGGCTGCCCAAGTCCGGACAACACGTATAGCTTTTGGGGCTGTGCGGTGCTGCTGTTGTTGTTGCTGTTGTTTTGTTCACATAATGTCCATTGCACTCGCCATAGGCGCATGTACCGTTAGCTGCGGCTAAAGCCGCCGCCGTCGCTGCCTGCTGTTGCGCCCGACTGTTGCATTTGGCGCAATTGTGATGCTTGCCGGAGTACTGCAAAACGAAAAGAAAATGCCTTTTTAGTGATAAGTATTAAAAGAAAAAAAAAAAAATTTAGCCCGCAAGTGGGGTAAAAGGGCAAAGGCAAAGTTTGGGTTTTTAGCTACTCACCAGCTTGCGCGATCCATGATGCAGTCCGCTAAGCGCTGTTCCTGCTGCTGCTGAGGAGCTGCTGTTGCTGTTGCTGCTGGAACCGGAACTAGAGGTGGAGTTGGTGCTGCTGCTGTTGCTGCTACTGCCCGCTGTAATGACGCTGGTGGTGGGCGCCTCAAAACTAATACGCGCCCCCCGACTATATTGGGGTGTGGCGCTCAACAGATCATTAAGTATATGGATGACGGTGGATATGTCACGTTTGGGTCGTCCGTAGCGATCCTGTAGTGCCGGATTTAGAGTGCCCGAGAAGGTGCCCGAATAGATGCCCTTGCCATGATTCTTCATGGACTCAATGACGGCGCCAGAGCCGCTCTTCCTTGGTGTCTCATCGCAGCCGGAGAGATCGATCTTGTTGGTGAACACCTCTTTGGAGAGTTTGCGCAACGTTTGTGTTAAGCTGCGCGAGGCTTCGGCCAATGTGCGTGTATCTGCAACAGCCAGACCAGAGTCATCCAGCTCGGTGGTGCTGCTTCTGCTGCTGCTGCTGCTGCTGTTGCTTGGTGTGCCATTTGGGGTGCTGCTAGCGGCTGGCGAGTCTTCAGCGCCATAGCCGCTGTCATTGTGCGACTTGTTGCGAGTGTTGGTTGCTGCTGCCGCCGCAGCTGCCGCAGCTGCGGCATGATGATAGTGATGGTGGTGGTGATGATGGTGATGATGGTGGCGGTGCTTGGAGCGCGTTATCGGATTGTTCACCGTCTTGTGCAGCATTTGGGCATTATTGCTCGAAGCAATGGAGGCAGGCGCAGTTGGATTGCTGCTGCTTTTGGACGTCGGAGCAATGTTTTTGCTGCTGCTGCTACTGCACCCCGTTTCGCTGCATTTGCTCAAAATTGGTTGTGAGGCAGCGGCAGCGGCAGCCACACTGGTTGACTGAGCCGCTGCTGTCGGCGTGGAGAGTCGCGTGCACAAGCAGGATGTGAGCTTGGCAGCTATGGGATCGTGTTGACAAGAAGTAGAAGATGTAGAAGAAGAAGAAGTGGCAATGGCAGCAGCGGCGACAATGTTGCTGCTTGCCGAGGAACTTTTACTTGGAGCAGACGACGAAATGGGAATGTTCTTGATGGCCGCGGTAGTCGTTTTAATGTTGATGGGACTCGAGACGAGATTCGAGAGCGACTTAATGGGCGATTGTTCCAGTAGCGCCACTGAAGGCGATGCTGCTGCTGTTGTTGTCTTCACTGTGGCTGGTTGTGTCGCAAGAGCGGTGCTGCTTGCAACTGCAGCTCCTGTGGCATTGCCAGCAGTAGCTGCGGCTTCGATTGCGGCTGCACGTGGCGTCTGCCCCAAAGCAATGCTCTTCACAATATTCTGCAAGCTCTCGTAGTCGTTCTTGCTGAGGAACGAGCTCTTGATGCCGCTGCCACTGCTGGTGCCAAGCATGCGGCTATTGTTGCCACTGCTGTTGCTGTTGCTGCCGCTACTGCTGTTGCTGTTGCTGCCACTGGCGCGATCCACATCCACTTCACGGACTTTGCTGCCGCCACTGCCTGCAGCCAAGGCCGAGGCATTGTGATGATGATGGTGGTGGTGGTGATGATGATGGCTGTGTCCGTACTGCAGACTCGGATGCTGATGGCTATGCACATGTCCCTGGCCGATGCGATAGACAGAGTTTCCAGATGCAACGCGCACCTGCGAGACGCGTGGACGCGCATGTGTACGCATCGAGGAGCTCAAGCCGCCGCCGCCGCCACCGCCGCCACCGCCGCCATTGGAGACGCATCCACCGCTGGAGGAGCTCGAACTGGCGCTGGAACCAGTTGTCGTTAGTGCATTGCTACTGCTGGCGCCAGTCAATGCTGCTACGCTGTTGCTGCCGCCCACTGCCGCTGCACTGCCTCCCGACCCGGCACCTCCGCTGGCCGGATTGACGGTACTTAATTGTAATTGTATGAGCATCATGTGATCTCCCAGACGCATGCTCAAATTCAGCGGAGTCTTGCCACTTAGAAAATCATTAACCTGCGAGTCGTTTAGCGATTCCAGCGCCTGCATTACCGTGTTCTCCGGACGCTGAGCCTACAAGTGAAAAGAAAATGCATTGAGATTAGTTAGCGATTATTTTCAAGTAAATGTCTTTTATTTTAACATTCGCCTAGACATTCGAGAAATACACATACAAAGTTTGGTGTTTGTAACTGCTAACGGCTTCGAGAACGAGACGGTCATACTGTCGAACAGGAAACAAAAAAAAAAAAAAAACCAGTAGTAACAAATGCCCAATGCTAATCAGTATATAGTCTACGCGCCAAATATTTAAATGCTATGTCTTATAGCTTGTGCTGTTTCTATTTTGAAACCGATGTTTGAAGTTAACATAAATAAATAACAAAATAAGTAGAAAGCTTCAAAAAACAACAAAAAGACAATAAAAAATAAAATAACAAAATTTATGAAAATAATAACTTAATAATAGGTATTTAATAAAAAGAAAAATTTAATTTAATTAAATGCTAATAAGTAATAGTACAGCATTAACAGAAATATTAATTATAAATCAATAATATTTTTTCATTTTACTTATTTATTCAATATTATATATAATAAATAAATAAAATGCTAATAGGTAATAATACATAAATAATAGAAATATTAATTATAAATCAATAGCATTTATTTATTTATTTAATAATTATATATAATAAATAAATAAATAAAATGTTAACAAGTAATAATAATACATAATTAATACAAATATTAATTATACATAATTAACAATTAATAACAATAGAAATACCGCATATTTTTTTATATACATTTTAAATTATTTGTTCTATTGTTCTATTCTCTCTCTCTCCTGTAAACACATTTTGCTTTTAGAAATGTTAGCTAACAGCGCGCTGTTAGGCTGTTAAGCTGTAACAGTAACACTGCTCGGTCTGTTCGCCAGTCCACACAACATGCCAAACTTATGACTCGCTTCCAATTCAGGCGCATTGGCATTGTTCTGTTGTCATTTTATTTGGCTACTATACAAATATATTTATTAACAATAAAGCACAACGATTATCGGGCAGGCCAACTATAGCCGACGAGATATTTGTTTTCGTACGTGATTCAATGCGCTGCCTTTGTGGCGATGATTAAATGAGACAACGAAACGCAACTTCTTAGCAATACTTAGCAGACTGCGATTAACAGAAGCCGAGCAGTGCCTGCAGTGCTAAAGTAGGTTGCATCATTGCAGACACTGCATTTCAGCAAGCAGTGCACTGCATGTGGGCGTTTAACTCGAAAGGGAAAAAAGTATATTTTTTTGTCTGCTCTTTGCTAAAAAAAAAAAAACGCTTTCACGTTAATATCATTCACTATCTGTGCTTGCAAATCAATTTTTCTTTTCGCCAACACATGCATGTTTGAATTTCTTTTACACATGAAGCCCAACTTTTAATTAGAGCTCAGACATCAAATGGGTCATAAAGTGGACGGACGAGGCGCAAATAAAAAAGTAGCAGCAGCAACAACAAAAAAGCAACTCATGTCACATATTCATTTAAAAATTTCACTTTGGCAAAAAAGAAACTAAACCAAGGCAAACAATTTGTACATACATATGTATGTATATACGTATATGTATGTGTGTACATAATTTGACAATAATACAACAACAACAACAACAGCAGCAGTAAAAGTAACAGAAACAAACGAGAGCGACGACAATAATAAACAACAACAAAAAATAACAGCAACAAAGCAGCGTCAACAACGACGACGACATCGCCGCCGCTTGAGCTTGATTTTTATTTTAAAGGTCTGGGTTAATTAATCATTTTCATTTCACGCACACACACAAACTAAACAAAGCCTTGCATTTATTTGCAGGCACACACACACACACATGTACTACATGTATGTATGCATATGTATATATGTATTTATCTGGATTCATGGAGAGAGAGACCTCACTGTATTGACACAGTGGCCTAATAATGTTCAAAGCTGACTTTGCGGGCTGTTAAATACAATGAGATGAACAGAAAATGTTAACACAGCGGGGCACAACTTTCCCTTTCAAGCAACAACATTGCTGCTGCTGCTGCTGCTGCTGCTGTTGTTGTTGTTGTTGTTGTTGCCACTTATGCAACACGCACGAGCGACGCTATGTGTGTGCGTGTGTTATTTCCCCGCCTAGCAACAACAGCTTTAAACGGAGTCTCAGACTCTGACTCTGACAGATGCGAGTGTGTCGTTTAATTGGCCTATTGATGACGTGGATGTTTTTTTTTGTTTGTTTTTTTTTGTATTAACGAACAAAGTGTACCAAGGTCAGCTGACGTCGTCGCACGCAACTTACGTCAGCGTCGCAATCGAAAATTAAAATTTATCCACAGCGACGACGACGACGAGACGACGGGGAAGATAACAATAACAACAACAATAACAAAGTCAATGCTGTAATTTATTAGCTTTGTGCAAATTGACTGACTGGCCCGCCGGGGCAAGTGTAAATGCCACTTTTGGCATTGTTTTACCAAAAGGTGCCTAGCAAAATCAGCAGACAGGGGCAGCCAGCCAGACAGACAGGCAAGTCAAATCGACAAATTGGCCACTTGGCTAAGCCATTTTTCAAGGTGGGCAGAAAGAGATTATGAGCAATTATTACGTAAGGCAGCAGCAGCACATGGCATGAAAACTCGTGTGTTATCTGAAATCGCACGCACACTTTGTGTTTGTGGCAACTTTTCTACGGTTTTTAATCGTGAATGTATTGCGTATTGGGATTCAACTGTCTGTCACAGAGCAATGCTTTCTACAGTAGCAGCAACAGCATTCAGTGAACTGCTTGTGCAGTGCAACAGGTCGGCGGCGAAGTGGTGAAAACCAACAAATTCACCACCTTTTGTAGAAATGTTGCAATAATTGCACTTTTTGCACTATATTTTTTTTTTAATGGTCTGAGGCGGGGATGTAAAAAAAAAAACATCGAACAATATTCACATTTCTTTGTGTGGTTTATCGAAGAAGGTATATTTGTATTACAAATTATTTGATGTTTTCATTCAAATGTGTATTTTATAATATACATTTTAGATTGGAAAGCATTTGATCTTTATTTATTCATATATAATGTCACAATTAATATGCTTAAAAGGCGTAGCTAATAATCTTTTTTTTTTTAAGTAAGCCATACAAGTTCATCAAAAGTCAACATTATGAGAACTTTATTGATTAACAACATTAAGTAGAATACTATGACAGTCTCTCTCTGTTGATTTACTCCCTAATATTAGCTTTTTTTCTATGGAAAGTTAATTTGTTAACACATGGATGCATCGATGTTTTTTGCGATGCATCGACCATGCATTGATTTTTTATTTTTTATATTTTTCCTTCGATTTACAAAATTGTACTGAAACTTGATTCTTAAAGCTGCCGGATGATATAAATCTTATCAAGCTGGAAAATATTAATTAGTTGCTCTTTTAAAATAAGAACCCATGGCTTATACTTGTATCAATATATATGTATATATAAGTAATTCTGTGTATGAATCCATATTTTCGTTTTTTACACGGTTGTTTCTGGAACCAATCTACCGTGTAAAAACAGAATTAGGTGTACTTTTTAATTTGATGGCTGCACTTATTATTTTGACCGGCGATCTGTAATTGGAACAAGTCCACAATTAACGAATTGGCTGAATTGACACACGACGATGGCAATAAATATTAACACTGATGGCTTGATGGCTAGTTTCAAGTGTTATCTTTGGGGTTTCGTAACGTCAAGCCAATACAATACAAGCACACACGTTGGCGCTTGCACTCAAATTTGCACGTGCTTTCACATTATGGCCGTAAACGTAAAACAAAGACGGCGCCAAAGCCACTTCAAAAACGTCGCCCGCGTTTGGCATCACGACAAAGTTCAGTGCTGCCATTTTAGCTTTTTTCCCGCTAGACATGGCTTTTTTTAAATGCCAGTGCGGGAAAAATTCTAAAATAGCGGGTTGCGGGAATTCTAGCTTCAAACAAATTTACTTAGCCTTTTTCTAGCTCTACACTATTTTACGCCATATGTTTTTTCCTTATCTTTTTTTTAATAAAAATAAATAATAATAATAAAAATAAATAATAATAATAAAATCAAATATGGGATGAATGGTAAATACGCTTAACTCCATTTGAAACCTAAGGTAAGTTTTAATATTATTATTTTAATTTAGTATTAATTTAATATTAGTATCAGTTAAGTCCAAATTAAGAAATGGGATGAATTTAAATACGCTTCACTCCATTTTAAGCGTAAGGTAAGTTTTTCATTTAATTTAATGTGCATTTTCTATTATTATTTTTACAAGAATCTCATATTATTATTATAAATTATGAAATAAGAATACACCTAAAAAGACATTGATCATATGCAAAAATAGGTGATTGATTCGGTATCACTACAGAAATATATATGAAATTTTTAATTTTCAAACTGTCTTATATCAAAATCGTGTAAAAAAAGACCGTGTAAAAACAGAATTAGGTGTGTAGAATTAATGTGAAAACATTAAAACAGATATTTCCTTAAATTTAAGCAGGAAAATAGTGCTTTTAAAACCGGCTTGTTTTTTTTAGCTTATTTCGCCTTGGATTTAGCTTTTTTTTTTTTTTGGCAATCTAGCTGCTTTTGCTCCAAAAATTATGGCATCACTGATTTTTTTACGCTTTCTGTGCGGGTTTCTTCTGTGCATTTGATTTTGACAAAGCGTTTTGTTAGTTTCCACCTATTTTTTAACTCATTATATAGCCATGTGTGTGTGTGTCACTATCTGTGTACGCGTCTGTGTTTGTTGACCATGAAATTATATTTTTATTGCGTACTTTGTAGTCGCTATTTGAGAAGCACTTTGCCTCTCCCCACCACCCCCCCTCCCTCTCCTGCTCCTTCCTCGGTCGACCGCCTCTTTGGCCGTCACACCTAAGCGCCGTCGCTGACGCTGAAATGTGTGTAACAAATTAAATTGGCCCAATGGTTATGTTGCTGTTGCTGTTGTTGTTGTCGTTGTTGTCACTGATAACATTTAT